TGCCCCTTTGGAATTTAGAAACAATACAATAATTGACATCGGCGACTATCTCGTTTTCCCTTGTTGCTTTCTGCGTCATAATATTGACAGCAATTAAACTTTGAATTTAGAATAAAAAAAGGACTATATATATGTATATTATATATATATAAAATATACTTCCATACAATTCCTACACACTGATGCACTATTGTAAAACTCGTATCGACCGCGAGAACTACAAACCGTTTCACGCAAGCTTTGCATTCAGATAATACTGCAGAAGACCGCCAGATGGCAAAGGAAATATCTTCCGAGTCCTTCGTACTTGATCCTATCGTTTCTCGTAATGCGCTGCCGATCAATAAACTTAACGTCTGTGTTTAAACTATAAATGTTGAGTGAAATATTTCCTCGAGAATGACTATTTCATATATTTTATTTCATCAACGCTATTTAGAGGAACACAAAGTACCATTCATGTCACCACTTTCATCCTTTGCCATTTGCATTTTATATTTTGACTCATCATCATGACACTCGATTCGTGAGTGACAGCAATGGAAATATTTTAAAAATTCAACATCTCTTTATGACCGAATATTTATTTATAATTTTCCTGAATAGAAAAAATGGAATTTAGTCGAAACTTTCAAATATTTACCGTTTGTTTCAAGTCCTGTTCAGCAGGCTCGAATTCAACTTAAATCGAAGAAAATATGTTCAAGTAATTTGATTATTTCCAATTACCTAAGATATTTTGCACATTTAAAAGTTTCCAGTCGCTTCGTCGGCTATTCTGAATATTATTAGTGAAAAGTAAGCTACTGCACAAATAATCAAATTTATCATTTTCACATTAGCAAAGAATTATCAAAAACTCTATCAAAGATATTTGTTAGGTACTAGCTAGATTAGGTTAGGGAGGGATTGCAGATTTATAATAATCCTTTCTTTCAAGATATTTTAATACTTTTTAGATTGAACTTATAGTAATAAGATTTAATCTTTCTACTGTAAGAAAAGTAAATTACGTTATTCGAATTTATTCAGAATTATTGTTACTTAAAATGTGAGAAACCAATTATTTCGAAGTAATCTTATAGAGTTTGAGTGAACCGAAATATTGAATATTCAACAAGTTTCATGTGGACAATCGAGTGGCAATCGAGTTACTCAGACAACTTGAGCATCCGAACTTGAATAGATCCAACAATAACCGAATCGGTCTTGACTTGGACTTTGCGGATTCTCAGCTATCTAATTGTAAGACGTAAAGAGCGAGTAGGGAATGTGGGAAACGAGGAGTGAAGTTAATAGAGAAGAAGAAAGAAAGTCTAACGAAAACGTGGGTCCAAGCGGTGCGTTGAACTACGTAGAATGTAGAGGAAACCAAAGGAGCCAAAGCCACCAGAGCGATGAAGAATGGATGCTGGTTTAGCAAGAGTTCAGATTTGCGCGACTCGGGTGCAATGGCCTCTTCGCTTTCGTATTCTCCTTCTCGTTGCTATAGCTACGCCCCCTAATCCCCCCTTCTAAAGCTACCTCACTTCTTTGCTTTGCTTTTATTTGAGATCCGCAGAATGGACGTCTATCACTCATATCGGTTCACGTCGATAGAGAGTTGAGATGATATCTACGTGGCATTTGCTTCTAGTTCTCTATGTATGTAGAGCACATTGATACTTCAGATAATTTAGATAGTTAATTTGACATAATCTTTGAAATATATATAATTTATATAACGAAAATATAACATTTACACATGTATAATAGTATAAGGAATTAAAAATGAATATATCTGAGTACTATTGTGCATTAGGTATCGCAAAAAAAAATATATATGTACAACAGGTGCGTAAATTCATTTATCATTAAATCCATCAAGTTTGGTTCACTAAAACGATACACCGGAATAGATGTTTTCTAAATGGTAACCGGTTGGGTAAATAGTCCCTTAAAAAGGCACTTGGGCCCGTTTTTGGGTATCCACACAGCCTGTTACACCTTCTTCATCCACACGGTGGATTCTTCACGCCCCCACCATATCCGACACGCGCCGTACTACGCTATAAGCTTAAAGGCCCTGACTTTTACGATTCTGTTCAAGTGGTCATAAAACCGAAGTTTATTGCCATCATGATTTTCAAGCATACAGACTGCCACCTGTCGGAGTCTCGCAAAAGCGAAAACTACATCAGGTCTCTTCGTCAATGGCGCCATCAAATTAAGAGCTTAATAAGTGGACTCTTTATGATTTATTAAGGCTTTGCGGCACAACTCTCAGTGGTGGACACATGTATAGAGGAAATATAGAATCAGCTACGAGAATTAGACTTCCTTATACTTAGCTTTCTCTCTCTCTCTGTTGTCCTTTGTATAATTATTAAAATCTTATTAAAGAAATAGTATTATATATATACGACAATATTAATTTTATATAATTGATATATAATAATACTATTCTGCGGCATATTCAATCTGTATATTTTTTAACGCTCAAACTACACATATATTTTGTTGTTATTTTTGCTATTATTAATTTTACCAATATGGTTATAATAATAATATATTATTAATATTTGAGCATATTATTAGAGATTTTTATTTTATTTGAATATCTCTAGAGAATTCTTTTGCTTAAAAAGTATCAGTGTATATTTCGTTATCCGATTATTCAATTGCAAAATTTCTTTCGCGCGTACACGCGCAATCCGTATCGCGTTCGGCTCGATATTCGAAAGGAACAGAAATCAAACATCCTTCACCTCTATCCTTGAGCGTGAAGTAGGTGGCTAATACCTCGGCATTCATAATGACAAGAGCGAAGCAAGAGCGAGCAAGCAAATAGCTAGGGTTGGCCCCAGAGAACAGCTTATGATGGGCATTACTCGGCTCGTTATGGAATAATTTACGAGGTGCGAACCGCGGGGGCGATAATCCAGCGACATTTACATCCCAATAAACACTCCCGATACTATAGTGTGGCGCGCGCCGTGAAGTGAGCTCGCTCGACTACCGCCTCGCGGAGTCCACTTTTACGGCTTTTTAATTGTGCGAACGTTGTCTAATTGGTCCGTAAAACACCGATGAGCCTCGTAAAGGCGTTTACGATAACATTCTTGCCATTCGTATTCACGCTCGCGCCATCAAGTGTTCCCGACGTCGGACCGGTCGCTGGGGCCTAGTGTGATCTTCAAAATAATTGAAGTGTCACACACACGATTCCATTCCGTCCCCCATATACTCCTTTTCTATTTGCGATATCACTTGTCGATCAGGTTATTCTACATCATAATGGCTTTACGACACCGTCCTCGCAATAACGAAAGATTATTACGGTTAATCGCAAGGTACCTCGTTGATGTTGGTCGTTTGAACGTCTGAATGGATCTGGCGAAGTTAGTTCGCGACGCTTTTCAGAGGTGGCGGTGCACGTATCCCCACGAACCAACGCGGAGGAGCGAAAGAGAAGGCAGAAGCATTGCGTGACGCGCGTGCCGTTCTCCCTCTCTGTCCAACTCTCTCTCTCTCCCTCTCCCTCTCACTCGCTCTCTCTCTGTCTTCTCCCCTCTCTCCCTGCCGCCCCACCTGCCCGTCCGCCTACCCTCACGCACACACACACTCTCTCTCTCTCTCTTCTTCTCTTTCCTCACGGGCAACGTGACTATACCCATGGTACCCTCGTAGTTGGTGGTAGGGATCCGCGGGGCGGCGCCTAGCCGCTCATGGGCGTCGTTCCGACTTGGAACTACTTTTGCACGGCGTAGGAACTTTCATGCCATGGCAGAGCGGTATTCGTGACGAATTCAATTCTGATTGGTCCTTAAGCATAACCTCCTCCCTTAGCGACCCGTTCTCCCTCTTCGCCGCTATCTCAACACGCTTCGCCGTTTCGTCTCACTCTTAGCTGCTACAATTGCGCATAGCGTTCTCTCTTTCGTACCTCTACCTTTCTCTCTTTCACCTTCTTTTCCGTTTCTGCTCGCACCTCCACGTCTTCTCGTCCCTCTTTCTCTCTCGTTCACTCTCCTTCTCTCTCTCTCTCTCTCTATTTTCCATCTCACCTCTTTCCTTTCTTCGTATCATGACGAACAATTATTTTCTCTTTCTTTTTCACACCGTTTTATCTGCTCACGCGCCTTGAATGTGACGCGCACGGCGAGCGCGAGTACGAATTTAATCTGGCGGCACGTCGTTGAGTTAGTGGAACGCTCGATAGGGGGCGCTGAGGAATCGTATCACGGGCGAAAGAGGCAGAGAATAGATCGAGTGGGAGGGAGAGAGCGAGTATCGCCGAGAGGTGGAGCGAGACAGAAGCAGAGGGTGAGAGAGCAATTGTGGGGGGGAACATTGGGGGTGGAAGAGGGGGACAACAACGACGATAGAGAGAGCGAGAGAGAACTCGGTTATCGTACCAGGAGGGGGATGGTATATGAGAGACGAGGAGGGACATACCTCCGATCTCCGTCAGGACGCAGTACTCCCGAGGAAGAGTACGTGCGAGTGAGAAGCAACAATCGCACGAATGACAAGGAGTGACTGTGACAGAGCGAGCGAACGGGCGTACGCGAGCGAGCGAGAGAGTGTGAGGAGGGACGGCGGCTGGTGGAACGGAGAAGGAAATTCGGGAGAGAGGTCGGACTACGAAGAAGAGAGAGACAAAACGAGGTGAACGAGCGAGCAAGAGACGGACGGCGCGTACAGAGTGGCGGTACACGGGGCGCGAGAAAAGCGGTAGTGTGCCGTGGACCACCGCACTGGCATACCGTGGTTCGTTACGATCCCCATCGTACTCCGACTCATACCGGACCTCCTCTCACAGTCATCAACGAAGTCGCAATACGACAAGTGCTAGTGCAGTGCGGACTGGCCCCCTCTTGATTTCGTAAGAGATTGACTGGCTTTCCCGAGCCACTCCTGACCGAATCGCGAAATTGTATATTATCAAAGAGAAAGAAAAAGCCGTCTGCGAGGGTGGCTGTCGCGTGCCGGCTGACCGAATCGTCGCCGGGCGCGCACGCGGCAGAGAGAGAGAGAGAGAGAGAGAGAGATCCACAGGCAGTTTTATAGCTCGTCTTATTACCCCGGTTTATTGCATCGTAACGGTTTAACGATCATCGCCTGTTTTCACAGTCGAGACCACCGGTTTATGCTTTCGCCCGCTAGCGGTAACCATAACAAGACCATAAAAGCCCCCGCCACCAACCATGAGACCCATTCTGAATTACACTCTTACGGCCTACTGACATTGACACTCCGGGTGTGTAACCGGTGCTATACCTACCGATGACTTTTATGGCCTCTTAAAACGGTTTAATGCTCGTTTATTCGTCCCCCCTGTCAACGTTTTCACCTATCGCCGCCCGCGTCGAACAAAACGTATCGCTACCTTAGGCGTTTATGTTTCGCCCGGTAAATCAAAAGGTGATAGAAGATCAAAGGTCTAATTAGCGTCCGTACGATCCGAGGGAGTCATCCTCCGATATCATCGGACACGGACTAGCGAACTTTGGCTAGCCACGTGCGCTCGATGTAATCGCAAAGCTATCTTCAACGCCGACTCCTTCCGCTCCTGCCATTATTTTTTTTGTGTGCCGGTGTTTTAGTGCAAGTGATCCAAGATACCCGGAGTAATGAACTCGTATTTTGAGCAGACAGCGGGCGGCTTCTACGGAAGCCACCATCATCAAACGGGAGCGGCGAGTCAGCATCATGATCCGGCCACTGCCGCGGCATATCGAAGCTTTCCGCTCGGGTTAGGTATGTCGCCTTACGCATCGACGCAACATCATCATCACACGTCCTCCTCGTTAGGGATACATCCAGGTGGTGGCACCAACACGAGACCACCCCAAGACTCGCCGTACGATGCCAGCGTAGCGACGGCCTGCAAGCTTTACTCGACGACACCCGAGGCAACCGGCCACACCACGTCCTCGTACTCGACCACAGCGACGAAAGACTGTAAGCAACAGGATCAAACGTCGGCCCATCAAAATGGTTATGCCGCGGCGATGGCAGCGGCGGCGGTTAAGGATGTCTGGCAATCGGCTACCTCGGGCGCGAACAGCCAGAGTAACTCGGTCGTACGTCCCTCCGCGTGTACCCCGGAAAGTACGAGGGTCGGTAGCTACGGTGGCCTAGTAGGCGGCGATCCGGCATCGAGTCCGGGCAACAACAGTTCGTCAAGATCCCTCACGTCGTCCTGGAACACCTGCAGTTTGAACTCGTCCGCGAGTCAACCGGTCGCCACGCAACTGCATCAGCAACCCACCGCCAACCATACCTTCTACCCCTGGATGGCTATAGCAGGTGAGTTTGCATTCATAAATGCTCTCTCATACGACTATTATCGTAACAGCCGCGATGAAATATAGGAGCCGCGCCGTAGTTAGGGGAGAGCGACCACGTGGTCGGGAAGGCGTGGTGGATCAGGCCTGCCTGTCTGGTTCTACCAGACTAAATTGTTAAAATTGCTTCCACGCGATCAAATTACCTAGAAGTTGCGCGGAACGAGATTATAGACCGAGAACGTTCCGTATGCATTCGCGAATAAATTCGAACGAATGGAAAATTTTCTATCGCGCCCGTGTAAACAGGATGAGTTATTTCGTCGTTACTTTGCTTTAAAAACAACGCGTGCGGAAGAAAAAAAAAAAGGAGAAGCGGAAGGTGTAGATCCCGCTCGTTGAATGTAGCTTTTCACCGTACCCGTGTCGAAACCGATGGAATTTTTCGCGGGGTCTATTTGTGCGCCGTTTTGAAATACGGCGTATCCATCATGAAACCCGAGACAACAGATTTATTGTCGTTGAGAAACTAAAAGTTCCATTGCTTTTGGTCGAATAGACGTGACAAAAAGGTTGACGGTAACTGACGTTGACACGCAAGAGTAGTGTGCAAAATGACGTGTTAAATTATCGTTCTTGCGATTAATATATATATATATATATATATATATATATATACATGTGTGTGTGTGTGTGTGTGTGTGTAATTTGAAGTTTGTCTCACGTAGGGAGAAAAAGAGACGAAAGGAAGCGGGAAAAAGAGAAAGAGAGAGAGAGAGGGTTGATCGTCATTTCTACTTTAAAAATAATGAGCGATATTTGTAGGTCCCGATTCCCAGACGCATTTTATAAATTGTAAATCTTACAACGCGTTCCTGCGCGAGATATGAGTTTTTCATTTTCACGTGGTACAATGTTAATGCGCGCGCGCTATGTCGCGGAAAATCGGCCGTGTACCTCGACAAAATTATGTCTGGTAGATAGGTAGAATGGAGTCAAGTGCGTGTAAAATCGTTGGGTACGCCGGGTATAATGGGGAAGCCCTCGTCCAATTGGAGGTTCAAGTGCCTTCCTCGCTGTACTCACCCCTCCGGAACCCCGAATTCCGGTAGTCAGCTGTTTCTAGCGATGTCTTTGTCCTGCTCATTGCGAGAGGGATATTCCCGAATGGCCTTCTGCTTCGCCGTTGGCAGTTATATATGTAATCATCGAGGCCTCACGGGTTCTGTCGCATCTTTTCGGTAAGAGTGCTTCTTTTACCAGCTCAGCTGAGATCCTAGATCCCTAGCTAGTGCTTCTTTTTTGCTATTCCTGCCCTTCTCTTTTTTCTCCTAGTCGCCTCTGGTTCTTCCTTCATCTTTCTTTAGCGAAAATCTCCTTCTTGCACCCTTCGATCCGGTTTAAGGCCTGTCTATTTTATTTTTTCTTCATTTTCTATCACAAGGGACCTTCTTCCCCTCCCCCCCCCCTTCCCTCTCTCTCTCTCTTTCTTTATATATACAAAAGAAAGAATCGTTTCAGGAGGCACCCAACACGGTTCGATGAATTCTGTTGTCCACCTTTGCAAAGAAAGAGTTATTTTCCATTATAAAAAAAAAAAACATAATTCGCGCATGCAATGACCCGTCGTATATATTATCATTATTATTTACGTTGTAAGTCAATATACACGCTTTCTCAGCTACATTCAACATCACTGATTTGCTGCGAAAGGTATGGGATCCGCAATAGAGTTTATTTGATTAATTCGAGGTTTTGGATCATTAATTATCGGCTACAAATTAACTCAGCGATACGTGGAATACAGCGCTCACCGTGGCAGGAATTGTAGGAATGGAAAAAGGTAATTGATTGACCGTATACTCATAGAGCAGGTTCTACGCACTCACGGCTTGAAAGTCATTGACTCATTTCGCACTCCCCCGGCAATGTCTTTGACGTTGTGTGTGTGTGTGTGTGTGCGTGTGTATCGGTAACCTACAGAGATTCAGATCTGAACCATATGGGAAATCGCGTAACGAAGATTTATTGATGCAAATTTATTTCGTCATAAATTACTATCTGCGACTATAAATATAGAGCCATTAATATCTATTAGCATTTTTTACCGTGTAATACAATAAATAAATGTCTCGTCTTATAACGTCGATTTTAGAAAATTAGTTTACGCTTTACGGCTTTGGTAATATTGTACGTATAAACGTACACACATTTTCTTTTAATAGATAAATCAATAAAAAAATATTACTTAGTCTCACGTTATGTGGAAAGAAAACGTTTCTTTATACTCAATATAAAAAGGGTAAGGTCAGTTATAAAAATTAAGTTAAAGAACCCTATATTATTTTGTCAATAAACAGTCTGTAAAATCCAATCGTGAGAGATACATCTTTCTTTATAGATCTGGCTCACTTTCTCGAAGTATCCCCGAACAATATTTATGACTCCTCATTGAGGGGTTGGCTACGTCTATAGGGTAATTAGAGGGCGCGAGTGATAGAGGCTGGGGGTGCTATCTAGACACCTCTTCATTCGAAGCCATTGAGAGCGAATCTTTTTTGCCGTGCACATCTGAAAAATGGGCCTTTTTAAAGCTTCATTAAAAGGCGTGCGATAGACCGATACAGAAATATTTATCAAGCTAAATATGTCCAATGGATATACTGCGCCGATAGCTTCGCAGTTTTTATTCTTAAAGCTTCCATTTACTTCCTTTAATATATTTTTTTTTAATGTTTAAATAAAAGCATAATTTCATTTATAAATGTTTTGTATATTTTTTATATACACAATTCGCAAGTGAAGAAATATAGCAATTTTCATTGAGAAGAAATATAAAGAAGACAGCCAATAATAATTTATATTTCAATTTGCTTTCACGAAAATGACAATAAAGTCATTGTTTAGGTAACAAGAAAGAAAGATGCAAAAGATACCACTTGGCTATTTTACTTCAGTTGTTGGCAATATGGCAAAAGCGATACTCAACGGACCTTGAACTCCATTGGATTCCCGCGTAAAAGCCACGTGGTGCACGCGTCGTTCTCGAGTTGGAAATGAGTATAGTGCTACTTTCTACAGTACGACGGTTGCGAGTAGGTGTTACGTACCTCGGGGAGCAACCTCGTTCAATATAAAGCAGCTAGGAACAACGCTGTAACCGTAACTTTGACGTTTACGACGACGAAATCGTGGCTTAGCTCGTTTACCCCTCCTTCTTGTGAGCCCCTCGCTTGCTGCTATGGCCGTTTACGAGGCTTGTCGGTAATACAGAGCTCTGCTTTCGTATCGACGAAGATCAGCTCCGATCTTAGTGCATCGTGAGGATTCCCCTATACGAGCACACACAGAGTCCTGTTTAGATTTAGCATCTGTAATTCATTAATATTATTATTATTTACAAAATCGAAAACAACGTTACGTATAATTTACTTCTGGGAACATTTTCGAATGATTATGCGTGCAAAAAATTTTTCGTTCTTTCCTTTTTACATGAAATTTGAGTTTTCGTCGAAAAATTAAGTACGTTAAATAGTTAAGACATAAAATTAATTTTTGTTACTTTCTATGATCTTACGTCACTTTCCGGACAGAACATAGATTTTTTCGCGTCGAAAACTTGACACTTCGGAGATAATTAAATCATCGATGATTGATGATTCAAATATCGTTCATACACTATTTGAAAGTGCCTCTAAAGCATTATGCCGTTTCGATTGAAGTGATTATCGAAGCGTGTCAGATCTGGTAATAAACCGGATATGTATAAATACCGCAACTGACATTTATTATCGCATTCTTTATCGATTCAAGTGTAAAGCCCATGTTATTGTCATCCAACAAAATAACCGGGTGGTCCCTGTCTTGTCAAGTAAATGACTTTTCTCTCTCGATTTCTTCACTCGTTGTAGAACTTTCGCCAAGTTCTAAAACAAAAGGGATGCAGCGTTTAATATGAAACTCAATCTCGCCGTGTTTACTGTAGCTTTATGAAGTCATATTAATTTATATATCAGACCGTCATTTTCTTTATACGTGATGCATGATACCAAGGAATCGCTCGTTGAGAACATTGATCCTAAAAATATGGGACTTTTCAACGGACATCTTCAAATCGAGTTCTGCCGTTTTATGAAAAATCGAGGAGAATTATGCGATAGATATCCGTCGAGTGCAGGCATGCATGTTGCACACCGGTCATCGGGTCTCCTCGACATATACAGAAGTATACGAAAGATACAGGCACCACGCATAGCATGGACACTCACACTATAGCGTCGCGATCTAAAGAGGCAGTCCAAGTGGGTGCATTCTTCATACACGAGGCACCGTAGAGAGTTCCTTCAATGTGTTGCTTCGTTGGCCCGGATGAAGCATGACGTACGAGCCTCTCCGTATGACTTACTACGCCCTTTTCCCTTCTCCACGCCCTCCGTTCCTTCGTACTGTTCGGTCGAAAAACATTGGTGCCTCAAAAAAATACGCGCTCTTTAATTGCAATATGCATTCTTCGGCGGGGAAGAATGGGTAGGAGTGAAAACAGGTTTGCCGCACTTCCACTAATAGAATATTTGCGGAAAAAGGTACGTTATATACTGTCGCGTCATACGTCCTAAATTCTAAATGTCCAAGAACTGAAAGACCACGCGAATATAAAAGAGAAAATATATTTAACGCTTCTTATTATCATCGTTCTCGCGAAAACTCCCGTATCTTGTTCCTATCCTTGTTCTCTTCTCTACGAATGATACATCGGAAGTTCACCCTGTACTTGTAATTTCCACCACTCTGACGAATTGGAAAATTCATCAAGGTTATGACCGAATGAGTGCGATATATAAGTATAAATTCCACGCAAAGCGATCGTAATTAACGGAGTCCGCCATTTTTCTTCGCGTTCGTTAATGGCCCCCATTAAGAATATACGCTTATTAATGTAACATCACGTTGTTTTCTTCCGTTGCGCTTTTTGCGCAATAACCGTACTCATTATAACGTTTATTGTACGCTCGAGTTTTATAT